CTGGTGTGAGGCGGAGTTCCAACTTCATTCTTTTGTGTGTGGATTTCCTCTTGTCCCTAAAGATCTGCTGAAAATCAATGCACCATAAAAGGGTGGGTTAATTTCTGTACTCTTGATTTTATTCCATTGATCAGTTTCAGAAAAAAAAAAAAAAAGCCAGCTGGCATTTTGATAAGCACTGTGTGAAATCTATAGATCAATTTGAGGAGTATATCAGAGCTTCAAAAGGCAAAAGGGGCCCTGTGGAGGAGCGGAGGTTCTTGCAGACAATCTCCACTGTTGGGTGATAATTCCAATTGGATGCCCCCCATCAGAGCTGTCCTGACTCAAGCAAGAGGACCCCCGCCTCTGGTCACCTGAGAGCAGAGGTGAGGTCCTGGCAGGAAAGCCCAAGGGACAGAGGTGTCCGTCCTCTCATCAGTCAGAAGCCAGACTGAGAAAGGCGCCCAAAGCAGCTCCAATCCCAGGAGCTATATCAACTGAACAGCCATGGTAATATTAACTCAGCAACTTTTACAAACTGTACTGTCCTCCTTCCAGGAACAAGAAAGTTGTGTAAGTCCTAAAGGTGGAGGAGGATATTTATTGCTACACTGATGTATTTGGAAAAGACCAGAATCAACCTAGTGTCCATCAGTGGAGTGGAAGTATGGCTCACCTACACCACAGAGAAGTATGCAGCCATAAAAGTGTTTGCTGAGAGGACACTATCGCTTTGTTTAAATGAGAAGAAATATATGTCTGTATATCTCCTTGATATACAGGGGGCTTACTTTTCTCTGTGTATTTCTTTCATGTACAAATATGTGTAATTTTGATGTCATTAGTTTCTTTTATCTCTTGACAGAAATGAGCGCTTTGGCTTTTTTTTTAAGATTTTATTTATTTATTTGAGAGAGAGTGAGAGAGATCACGGAGGGGGAGGGAGAGGGAGAAGCAGGCTCCCTGCTGAGACTCGATCCCAGGACCCTGGGATTATGACCTGAGTCAAAGGCAGACGCTTAACCAACTGAGCCACCCAGGTGTCCCAGAAATGAGCACTTTGGATTAAGACTTTGCTCACTGGGGCACCTGGGTGGCTCAGTTGTTAAGCATCTCCCTTTGGCTCAGGTCATGATCCCAGGGTCCTGGGATCGAGCCCCGCATCGGGCTCCCTTCTCCGCAGGAAGCCTGCTTCTCCCTCTCCCACTCCCCCTGCTTGTGTTCCCTCTCTTGCTGTGTCTCTCTCTGTCAAATAAATAAATAAATAAATAAATAAATAAATAAATAAAGACTTTGCTCATCAAATAAAAGCCATACCATATATTCCGTTTATATTTCTCAGTTATGTTTCTTGTAACTCTAGTACAATATCACGAAGAGGAGACTGGTATGGATATGAGCCACCCATCTAATTCAGATCTCACTGGGTTTACATATAGTCACTGAGTGTGTGTTCTGTGCAATTTTATCACATGTGTATATTCATGACACACATCAGAGCAAGATACAGAACATGGCCATGACCACAAGGGTCCCTCATATTGCCCTTTTATACCCTCACAACCCTCCCCAACCCCAACCCTAGCAACCACTAATGTGTTCTCCATTTCATTAGTTTTGTCATTTCCAGAGTGTCCTATAAATGGAATCATACATTGCATAACCTCTTGGGATTGGCTTTTTTCACTCAGTGTAATTCTCTGGATATTCACCCAAATTGTTGTGTGTTCCATAGCTCATTCCTTTCATTGCTGAGTAGTATTTCATGGTACAGATGCACCATGGTGTTTTGTTTTGTTTTTTAAGCATTAACCTGATGAAAGATATTTTGGGTTGTTTCTGGTTTGGGATTTTTACAAATAAAGCTGTGAACATCTGTGTACACAATTTTATGTGAACACAAGTTCTCATTTCTTTAAGATAAATGTCCCGGAATGGAATTATTGAGTCCTGTGGCAACAGCACGTTCAGTTTTATAGGAAAAGGACAAATAGCTTTCTTGAAGGCAATATGAGTGATTGTTTCTCTGCATCTTTGCCAGCATTTGTTGTCGCCACTAGTTTCCTCCCCCCCCCCCCATTTTAGCCATTCTGATAGGTGTGTAGTTTATGTTCTTTTATTTTGTATATATTTTTTAGATTTAAAAAAATTCTTAAGTAATCTCTACACCCAACATGGGACTCGAACTCACAACCGTGAGATCAAGAGTCGCGTACTCTACCAACTGAGCCAGCCAGGCACCCCTGTAGTTGTATATTCTTTTAAACTGAAATTCTAAACATGTGCATATTACCTAAAAACCATAACAGCATTTTTAAAAGTAAATTTATGTAGGCAGGCACATGAGAGCAACTGATAAGTGGGATACCAATGGATTAACTTAAAAGAAGAAGCAGGTCGAAGTATGAGGTCAGAATTCATGTCCACTAGTCATGCATCTATCCCAGTAGGGACAGCCACCTAGAAGTCAAGTGACACTCAGATGGCAGCCTGACACATCAGAGCAGAGACAGGAAAATGATTTTTTTTTAATGAAGATAATGCCATTCCAACATGGAAACATACAAAAGTTTTTATTAAAAGAATTTCAAAATAGATGTAGAAGTCTAGCCCATAATGAGCAGGGTGTGCACCCACTCCACTCTAGCTGCCACCAACAACCACTTCTATCATCAACCTCATTGCCCCTTCTTCTGGAAAAAAATAACCTCAAAGCATCCTGTGCTCCACCTGTAAATACTTTGGGATGTATTTATATCCCAAAGGGCATTTTCTTATGTATTAATCACATCTAAAATTAACAATAATTCCTTTTTTTTTTAAGATTTTATTTATTTATTTGAGAGAGAGAGGGTGAGAGACAGAGAGCACGAGAGGGGAGAGGATCAGAGGGAGAAGCAGACCCCCCGCTGAGCAGGGAGCCTGATGTGGGACTCGATCCAGGGACTCCAGGATCATGACCTGAGCCGGAGGCAGTCGCTTAACCAACTGAGCCACCCAGGTGCCCCAACAATAATTCCTTTTAAAGAATGTTCAAGGAAAAGTAATTCTCCACACTCCCACCACCATTCAAACCACAGTGATTGCACTTCTCTTCCAGGTCTGTGGGCAGTGTGCAAGGTCCTTGCAAGGCCCGGTTCCAGAGTTGAGTGCACCAGGACACTCTGTTTCTTCCCCCACTTAACATTGTATGGCGTTCAGTTCCACTTAGCCTCATCATCTTAACAAGGAGAGTTTGATAATCTTCATATGCCTTTAGGAATACCTTCTTTACAAACCATTTATTTCTTTTGAATATTAATGCAAAAATCTTCAACAAAATACTAACCAACTAAATTCTGCTGCATGTTAAAAGGATTATACACCAGGACCAAACAGGATTTATTCCCACAATTCAAGGATGGTTCAACATATGAAAATCAACCAATATAAGGTGCACCTCAACCAATATAAGGGTGGCTCAGTTGGTTAAGTGTCTGCCTTTGGCTCAGGTCATGATGGGATCGAGCCCCACATCAGGCTTCCTGCTCAGCAGGGAGTCTGCTTGTCCCTCTCCCTCTGCCCCTCCCCCTACTCATGCTCTCTCTCAAATAAACAAATAAAATCTTAAAAAAAAAAGATGGATGGAATTAGAGGGTATTATGCTACGTGAAATAAGTCAATCAGAGAAAGACAATTATCATATGATCTCACTGATATGAGGAATTTGAGAAACAAGACAGAGGATCATAGGGGAAGGGAGGGAAAAATAAAACAAGATGAAACCAGAGAGGGAGACAACAATAAGAGACTCTTCATCTCAGGAAACAAACTGAGGGTTGCTGGAATGGGGGGGGGTGGGAGGGATGGGAGGGCTGGGTGAAGGACATTGGGGAGGGTATGTCTATGGTGAGTGCTGTGAGCTGTGTGAGACTGATGAATCACAGACCTGTACCCCTGAAACAAACAATACATTATATGTTAATGAAAAAGAAAATCAACTAATGTAAGACACTACATTAAAAAATAAAGGGAAAAAAACCCCACATAATCATCTCAATTGACGCAGAAAACCGTGTGATAAAGTCCAATACTCCTTTATGATAGAAACACTCAACAGACTAGGAATAGAAGGGAACTTCCTCCATATGATAAAGGCCATATACGAAACACCCGGTGAGCATCACACACAGTGGTGAAAGACTGAAAGCTTTCTTCCGGAGATCGGGACGACGACAAGGCTGCCCGCTGTCCCCACTTCTGTTCAACATAGCACTGGAAGTCCTCGCCACAGCAATCAGACAAGAAAAAGGAATGAAAGGTATCCAAATTGGACGCGGAAAAGTTAAAACTGCAGACGACATGATATTCCATGGAGAAAGCCCTGGGTTCCACACCAAAACCCAAAGAAGCAAATCGAGCTCATAAGCAAGTTAAGCGACACTGTAGAATGACAAACCAACACTCGGAAACTCCGGAGCATTTCTACACACTAACAGTGAACAAGGCCATAAGGAAATTAAGGAAACAATGCCATTTACAAGAGCATAAAGAAACACTTAAGGATTAAACCAAGGAGGTAAAGGCTTGCAGGCTGAAAATTAAAAAAACTGCTGAAAGAAATGGAAGGAGACACAAATGCGGGGACACAGATTCTGAATCGCCGGGCTAGCGGGACAGTGGAATGTCAACCGGGCAGCCGGCGCCCTGCAGGGGCGAGGGCGGGACTACAGCCCCCACAATACCTCCGGCGGCAGCGACGGAAGCGACGGCGTTGGAGGCGGCGGCCTAGGCCAGGGCCAATCACCGTCCGGCGGTGTCGCGGGGCACGACGGGTCTTGTAGTGGGCGCGGGGGCGGGACGAAGGCCCTCACGGTACCCGCGGAGGCGGTGACGGAGGCAACAGCTTCAGAAGGGGCCCGCCTCGGCGCAGGCCGCGGGCCAATCACGGCCGAGCTGGCGGCGCGGGGCACGACGGGCCGTGTAGTCGGCGGGGGCGAGACTACGGCCCCCACAGTGCCTCGCGCGGCACGGGGCGCACTGCGGCTGCGCGGGGGCGACCGGGGCGCCGTCGGGCTGGGCGGCGGCGGCGGCGGCGGCGACGGCGGCGGACGGGAGCCCGGCCTGAGCCTCGCTGGGAGCCGCGCGACCGGCCGCGGGCCACCATGTCGGCGCCGTCGGAGGAGGAGGAGTACGCGCGGCTGGTGATGGAGGCGCAGCCCGAGTGGCTGCGCGCCGAGGTGAAGCGGCTGTCGCACGAGCTGGCCGAGACCACGCGCGAGAAGATCCAGGCGGCCGAGTACGGGCTGGCGGTGCTCGAGGAGAAGCACCAGCTCAAGCTGCAGTTCGAGGAGCTCGAGGTGGACTACGAGGCCATCCGCGGCGAGATGGAGCAGCTCAAGGAGGTGAGGGGCAGGCGCGGCGCCGCGCCCCGGCCGCGCCCCGACCCCGGCAGCCAGGCCGGGCGGACCGCCGAGCGGAGCCCTGACCCCGGGCTGGGCAGGTCCCCGGCCAGCCCTGCAGCCGGGCCGGGCCGGGCCAGCGCTGCGGCGCCCAGGGTCGGGGCTGCAGCGGCCCGCCGGTGCGGTGGTGGGCGGCGCGCGTGCGGGAGTTCGGGCCTCCGCGGGCAGGGGCTGCGGGTGGGGCCGCGTCGCCAGCCTGTCTGCTTCTGGCCGCAGGCCTCGGGCCCAGTGGGACGGTGGCCTCTGCGGTGTTGGGCTTCCCGGGCTGGGGCTGGGGGCTGGGGGCGTGGGATGGTGCAGGGAGCCGGCTGGGAGGGGCCGACTGGGCGCCCACCACCTCCAGGCGGACGAGCTCTCCTCTCTTCCGTGAGCGCTCTAGGCTGGGAAGGGCCTCGACGGGGCTCGCCTTGAATGTGGTCATCTGCGATAGCTGGCCTGCCCCTCGTCCCTCCTAGGCTCGGCTCCGCGACCGCCCCCCCCCCCCATTACTTCTCTGGGAGGCAGCACTTCTCCCGCCTACTTCCTGTCTTGGGACCTTGGCTGCCGTCCCAGGGTCGGGCGACAGGTCTGTGGGTGTTTGTCACCGAGGGAGCCTTGGGTCTTCTCTGATTTTGGCCCCGGGATGAGGTGGGACCCCCAGGTGCCTTCAAGCCTCCCCGGAGAGCTGGGCGGGCCTTCCATGAAGCAGTTCTGGGTGACTTCAACAGCAGCTTCCCTCCCAGGTCTCCCTGACCCCTCAGCCCTGTTGTGGGGGGTGGGCAGGAGGAAGTTGCTTTCTGGGTGGAACATCCAGGTTTGGACCCAGGCCCAGCGCCTTGCTGGCGTTGTGATTGTGGGCTGGAGCCCTAGCTCTTCCTTCTGCAGCATTGCCCACCCAGAAAAGACTGGTCTGAGAATTGTATATGAGAACAGGCCGGGCATGGTCAGGTGTGTGGCCTGTTGGTTTCTCCGACAGCGTGCCCGTTCCCCATCAGACACTTCCCTCGTCCAGGTGGGCTCTTGGCCCTTGGTCTTGGGATCCACCGTGCTCGCTGCCTCCCTGACTGCCCACCTCCCGGCTTGTCTGCTCCCAGTGGCCTCAGGCAAGTGCCTGTGCTGTTCAGAGCCTCCCTGCCTCACTGGGGACACCAGTAAGGTCCCCTTTTGATAGCGACGAGGAGAGAATGTATTAGCCCACACAGGTGCTTAGGTCTGTGCTAGGCAGATCAGGTGTTTGGTTAGAAGCAGTAAACCAACCGACGTTGGGGGTGGGGGGCAGGTGGCAACATATGAGACCTGTGGTCCTGTCATCTGCTGGCGGGCCCCATCCAGGTGCGTGGGGTGAGGGGATGCACCTGCAGTGGAGGGAGGCAGGGGGCTGTGAGAATACGGAGCAGGAGTGCCTTTGGCCCCCTTCAGGTCTCTGGTCCTCTCCCCTCCCCTAACTTGCTGAGCACCTCCCCATCCCCTGGCCCAGCAGCAAGCGCAGTCCCTTTCTGTGTTGACAAGCTCACATTCATGTCCCCTCTAAGAACAGACCAGAACAGACTGTAGCAGAAAGAACCAGCCCCCACTTAGGGGCCTTTCCGTTATCAGCTCTTTACTGTCACAGACAGATGTTTTGACCATCGTTTTGTGGGGTGTGTCTGGAGGGTGGATCCCAGAGGGAATCAGGAGGATGGTGTGTCAGGTGTTCTTCAAGTGCCTGCTTGCTTGGTTTGATGTCACCTACCAGCTCCTGCAGGAACTAGCCCCTTGGCCTTGGACACACAGCTCCACTGTCCTGATCTCTAGCTCCCCCCACTGTGGGTGTGGTGAGTAGTTGAGCAGAAGCTGAGAAAGGAGCATCGGAGTCTCAGACACGCTGCGGGAAGGTGGCACCAGGCCACGCACACCCAGGCTGGCGCAGCCTCTCCTCAACCTCGTTCATTGTAGTCGCGGTCTTACTTGGATATGTTAACTCTTACTTTATTTTATTTTTATTTATTTTTTTATTTCTTTAAGATTTTATTTATTTGACAAAGATAGAGAACACAAGTAGGCAGAGCGGCAGGCAGGAGAAGCAGGCTTCCCACAGAGGAGGGAGCCTGACGCTGGGCTCGATCCCAGGACCCCGGGATCATGACCTGAGCCAAAGGCAGACGCTTAATCGACTGAGCCACCCAGGCGCCCCTGTTAACTCTTATTTTAAAAATCAAGATTTAATGAGACATATTTTCTTGGGTCTTTTTTTTCTCTCGTAGAGAGGTGAGCCATTTGTATTCTTTTAACACTTCATTTCTCGAACTAGAGTTGGTTCAGTTGCTGACAAATTGCATTTCAGACAGAGGTGTTTGCGCTCCTGTGCGCAGCCTTTGTAGATGGTCCTGTTTGTGAGGGAGGGAGGCTGGCTGGCTGGTCATAGGTGGGTGCTCTGTGCCCAGGCCCAGGACGAGTGGGCCCCTGTGGTGGCCTTGCAGCCTTTGTCACTTGGTGCGTGTGTGTCTTGACACCATGGTGTGTGTGTGCCTGTGCGTGTGTGTGGGGGGCGCCGCTGGCCCTTTTTGCCTAAGCATTTTTGCTAGTGACTGAACCTGGCTTAATAAGGGCCCAGTCCATCCCAAGTCCCACTGTGTCCCCTCCCCGCTCTGTGGGGAGGAGAATCGGACGGCCTTCGGTCAGCCAGCCGTGTGGTGTTTGCTGTCCTGAGTGGCCATGTCCTCATCCCGCTCTGTACCCTCTGCTGCAGCTTCAAGGGGGGCCGGTGTGCTGGGGTGGGTGCCCTGAGTGGGCGGCCCTCGCCTCGGGGACGTGGGGGCTGGAGGGCGTGCCTCGGGCCAGGCAGGGGTCCGAGGGTAGGGCCAGCGCCCTCACCGCCTTGGGTACCACCTCGGGCTCTTGTTTGCGCAGTGTACTTAGGGCCTGGGAAGCAGCGGGTGGAATCTGGTGAGCTGTGGTGTGTCATGGGCTGGGCACAGTGCCCGGCACACAGTAAGTGCTTACTTAGTGTGTGCCAGCTGGTGTCGTCAGCTCCTTCCCTCCACCTCACTCCGGCCTGGCTCCCCTCCCCGCCGTCCCCACAGGAGATTGGGTAGCAGAGCCTGCTGCCTGGGGCCCCGGGCCGGGCTCACCCTGCACTGCGGCCCTGTGTCCGTCTGCCTTCGCTGCTCTTGCCAGTCCTGCCTCTCCCAGCTCCTGGAAGGCCTGCCCTCCGGCCCGCGGGCCCTTCAAGGCCTGGGCGCTTCTCGCAGCCACCTCCCCTCCCTCCGGACTTGCCTGAGCCCAGCTCTCAGCGCTGAAGTCCTTCGGTCCTGCTCAGCCCGAAGGGCCAGGGCAGAGCTAGTGGGGGCTGCTCTGTCTCCTACACTCCCTTCCTTCCCTCCCTCCCTCTCCTACCCTCCTCTCCCAGTGGGTGGGGAAACTGAGGTATGGATGGGTGGGGGTGACCACTTAGAACGAGGTCCTCAGGCACCAGGTCCCCTCAGGGTCTTTGCATAGAAGTTACAGCTGTAAGTCAGTTTAGTCCCACAGAGGAGGGTGCTGTGAAGGCCTCCCCATTCGCCACTGACTCCTACAGCCCCCACACCTACCCTTGGGGCCACCACCTTGTTATGTCCATCCCACAGCTGGGGAAACCGAGGCACAGGGAAGCCGAGTTTTGCTCAAGGCTGTGAGCCTGTCCCTGTTCCTGCCGAGGAGGGAGGGGTGGTTGGAGGCCTCCTCAAGTGTTTTCTTGGGGGTGGGAAGAGCTCCGACTTGGCTAAAGCCTGTGGGGATTCTCCTGGAAGATGGAGCAGAGTCCTTGGGGCTGGAGTCCCCTGGGGGACCTGCGCCGGTGTGCGGCGGTCTGCGGTGGGCGGGAAGGGGCCTGACTTGGGGCGGAAGGTGGGGTCTGGCGGGCCCTGGAGGCGCAGGGGTGGCCGGGCCTGCGGGGTGACAGTTGAGGGAGGCAGCTGCTGGTGAGCAAGGATGGTGACCGGCTGGCTCCCCATGGCTGCACTGCCGGACGCTCCCCACTTTGCTGCCTTGGAACATGTGTCGGGCAGGGGTCACAAAGCAAACGTGAGAAATACCAGAGTGTCCTGCATTGCCTCCATGTCCCCTCCTGTCCTGTCCGTGCTGACTGGCTGTCACAAGATGCTTCCCGAGATGAGCGGCGGTGGGAGCCTGAGATGTACAGCCCTGGCAGGAAGGAGGTGCCGCATGAGCCGTCCGGGGCCACGGTCTCCACGCTGCCTCCAAGGGTCGTGTGCACCCTGCCTAGCCCTCAGGGACTGTGTGCCCTGGACCAGCGGTCTGCCCATCAGGGTCAGGGAGGCTGACTGTGGCTTTGGGCACCGGGGGCCAGTGCCCCTGGAGCACACGGGCAGGCGGTGGTCAGAGAGAGCGGTGGCCAGGGCCGCACGGAGTCCTGCTGGGCTTCCCTGTCACCTCAGGGACCTTGCCGGGAGGGAGGAGATCAGTTTCCCCTTGTCAGTGGGGGGCAGCCGCCCGCAGTGACACTTCCCCACGGTGGCGCACTGGGTGACGTGCCGCTGCAAACATTGGGGGTAGAGAAAGATTGGCTTCTGCTGAGACAGTGAGGTGAAGCTGGCCAGTGGGCAGGGGCTGGCCAGGACCCCGCACACTCTGATGGGCAAGGCCCTCCGGGCCCCGGAGCCCTCCCCCACCGGGTCTGCCGTGGGAGGAGGACCCAGATCCAGGTTGCAGGGTCACGGGGACGCGGGGCCGTCCGGGCTCAGGCAGCTGATAGTATTGAGGAGGTCTGGGGCCCGGCTTCTTATTTAGAGCTTAATACATTTTAAGAATCATACGTCTGGGGCGCCTGAGTGGCTCAGTCGGTTAAGCGTCTGCCTTCAGCTCAGGTCAGGATCCCGGGGTCCTGGGATCAAGCCCTGCATCGGGCTCCCCACTCTGCTGGAAGCGTGCTTCTCCCTCTCCCACTCCCCCTGCTTGTGTTCCCTCTCTCGCTGTGTCTCTCTCTG